CAGTTGTTGTGCTTTGCGAGCAGGGTTTCCGAATCACCAGATTACTAACAAAGGCAAAGGGAAATAATGGTTCTCTACAGCAATGCCTGTCCTGCAACCCCCCCACACCCCCCTCCCAGTCCTGCCACTCTTCCATAATGGCCCAAGTTGGCATTCCTTGTCCTCATTTGTAGATAACAAATTTGTCCATACACAGTGAAAGGTCAAGAATGATCTTTCATGGCCAGACATTAGCTGATGTGAGGGTAATTCTAGTGGTATCCAGCCCATTTACGACTGGACTAAGATAAAAGTATAATTTAAAGTAAATCCCCAAGGAAAAGCCCGAATACACAGTTAAAATACATATATGTGAACTGTTTTATATGTAATTTTGTTCAGCCAGTCTTGTATTTCACTCACCTCTACCACAAGGAAAAAACAAGCAGGTAAATATGTTTATTTTCTGAATCAGTTTTGTAGCTATAAGTGCTAGCTATATGCCTCCAGCCTGCTTGATGTAAGAAATCTGGGCTACATAAATCCTTTGGCAGGTAAACCAGTTTGTGTGTATGTATTTAGCTGTTTGCCTGTATTTCGGCTTTAAAATAAAATAATTCTAGGCTCCTTACATATGAGCAGTGTGCAAATGTGATAATTAAGTGTATGATAAACTAAATTACACAGTATTACATAATACTAATACATAAATGACATAAAATGCATCATCATTTCCACCTAGCCCCCCAACCTACAGTAACCTACACTTCCCTGCCCCAGATACATAATTACCTTAATCTCAGAGCCGAAGTTCATAGCTCAAGGTTAAAATCTTTTTTCTACTGGCAAAGTCTGTGCAGTCAATCCCCAAAGACAACTATGGGGCCATTGCCTGACAATAGCTCAGGAGACAGTCGCGTAAAAAGTCTATTGGGGCGGACTATACAAGTGTGGCCCGTGGGAATGAGATTTTAGGGTTGTCAACATTCCAGCAGGCCATAGCTCTTAGGTCAAGGTAAGCATCATCTGGGGGTCATGGAGGGTGGGTTACTGTAGGAAGAGCCCAAATATGTACTTATCCTTCAAAAACAAATACAATGATATAAAAATGCAAAATCATTTGAATGTTCAAAACCTGAAACAAGAAACATAGTGCTGTCTACCACTGCAAACCATCAGGATATTTTATACCGTGTTTCCCCGAAAGTAAGACCTACCCCGAAAATAAGACCTAGCACTATCTTCAGGGATTTCTGTAATATAAGACCTACCCCGAAAATAAGACCTAGTTCGGTGATAGGTCTTATATTACAGAGATGCGCTAGGTCTTACTTTCGGGGTAGCTGCACATGAACTGTGTAAAGAC